CCTCTTCCAAGGCACAAAATACCCCCAATAGCTGCACGTGGTGAGCTCGGCATCTATGGCCACCACTCAACTCCACATCCATAGGCTACAGCAGCATTTGTTCAACTGGAAAGCTTCCCTGCCAGACAGCAACCTGGGCCGGAACTGGGCAGCTGCTTTCGCACGGCTCAGTCGGCTGCAGGCACATCCCTGCCCCTCGAGGACGGGGTACTCAGGACACCCCTCTTTGGCTGAACTGCATTCTATGTTTGTAAGTAGATGGGACCAACTCAAAACCCCTGACTTCCAAGTTTTCACTTGGCTCCTTTAGCAAAAGTCACCCGAACACAAGTGACTCGGGGAAGGCTGGAATCTCACCAGGGTCTGGAGAGACACGATCCAGCCTCTGATGTCCATACAAAAGCTCACCCAAACAATTCCCACACTTGGGATCATTCACAGCACTCCAGGCTCCTCCAGCACAAGTTAATTCTTTTTGTCTTGCTGCTGCTTTGAATTTCCTAGTTGGAATAAGCATCCAGTGAACTGTGCTGAGCCACAGCCACGTTGGAGAGCCCAGGACAACATTTTTTCTGGCCATACAGACCAGGACGTGTTTACCCAGAGCCTGGAAAACGATTCAATTTTCATAGCTCTGAAGAAAGACCAAGGGGTCACCCTTCAGCTGAGGGTGGTACAAATAGAGGCTGAGTAGAAAGAGGAAGGTACAGAAAGGCAGGGTAGTGCTGTCTCCAGGAGGGGGGAAAGCAAGACCCTGTAACTCCAAGTCTAATTAGTAGAGCAAGTTAACAGGGGTCAGGGGCCAGGTCAGCCCCACTCTTCACGCCCCTCTGTCCCACCCACTTATGGACGTGGGCAAGTTCCAGACACCTCAATCTACATATTCGTGTGTATTCGTGCCACAGGATGCAACAGCATACATTGGGCAGGCCGAGCAAAAGCCAAAACTTCTGCAACGCTCCCAGCCCTGAGCGATCTCCTGCCAAGCCCCTGCTGAAGAAACTGCACAGGGGGAAAGAGGTCTGGGGGAAAGGAGGACTGGATGCCGGAAAAATAACCCGGGTGACTAAGGCAGAAAATCACAACCAAACACTGGGATGACATCACATTTCACCCTGAACACTGAGCTGCCAAAAAAAAGAGAGGGTTTAAAGCACAGCCGGTGGCACCCAAAGCCCAAAGAAGGCTAAGTTATGGACCAAGAATGATAGAATCATGGAATGGTTTGGGTTGAAGGGACCTTAAAGCCCCCCCAGTCCCACCCCCTGCCATGGGCAGGGACACCTTCCACCAGACCAGGTTGCTCCAAGCCTCATCCAGCCTGGCCTCGGACACTTCCAGGGATGGGGCATCCGCAGCTTCTCTGCAGGAGCTGCAGCACAGCCCTTGTCACCCATGCAGTCCCTGCTTCCCTCTCCAATGCAACACCCATCAATCTCCCACGGATGCTCCAGGGCTTAGCAACTGCCGGTGAGCCCCTGAGGATCCCTGACGGAGCGCTTCACTGCGCAGCAGAATACGGTGGTATTTTCTTTACTGCACTACAGCTGTCACTGCTCTCACGTGAACATGTGCCACCAGCCAGCACTCACTGCAGCAGCCTCGTAAGGGACCACTGGCCTGGAGAAGCCATCCCTTGCTCCAGCACCAAAGTCACTGCACAGTGCAAACCCAGAGCTATGCTAAGGGAGGGGAGAGAACCAAGTGCATCCGGCAAGCAGTATCTCATGCAGAAGAAGAGCCTCGGTGCTGCAAAGGCTGGATTTATTCAGGTTTGCTATTGCATGTTTTACCATCACAGCTCGCTAGAAGCCTGCGCTTCAGTATTAGGGGTTTGCATCTCTCTGCTTACACTGGCACCAACTTCTTCACAGCCTTCAGTGCCAAAAGGAACGTGCAGGCAGACATGCAAAAGCAGGTATTCCTCAGCAGGGCAGCTCGCCGTTGCATGAGCAGCCTCGAGTTGTTTTTACAAGGAGCGCAGAGCACACACTCGGCCACAGCTCACCATTAGTCTCCCAGGAAAAAAACATGGAGGAGAAACCAGCTTAGGGTAACCTCAGCAGGGGAACAGGGCCTCTCTGCCTAGAAATATGCCCATCAAAATAAGTTTCTCCAGTTTCCCATCTCATTGCCCCATGGGGAAGGAAAGAGGAAAGGATCTTATTCTCCCTAAGAAAAAGGGAAGTGACAGACTGGCATCCTTGCACGGGTTTAGCTATGCAGCACAGGGATTTGTCTGTACCTTGAGCTCACACTGCAGGACATGGGATATCCATCCTCGGTCTGGAGATGGAGATTTGGGTCCCTGATGTCCCCAAGTCCTGTCTGTGTACTGCTGCACCCGCTCCACCCTTCCCAACACCGTTTACTGAGTGCTGAGAGTTTTATGAAGCACTTCCACAGCCAGTTTCACACCGTAGCCCAGGCAGACACACCCCAAGCATCACCCCAGCTTTCCCTCAGCAAAATTACAGAAATCTTAAGCCATTCTATGACTTATGGTTGGAAGGGGCCTTAAAGCTCACCCAGTCCCTGCCATGGGCAGGGACACCTTCCACCAGACCAGGTTGCTCCAAGCCTCATCCAGCCTGGCCTTGGACACTTCCAGGGATGGGGCATCCAGTTTCTCTGGGCAACCTGTCCCAGTGCTCCACACCCTCTCCAGGAAGAATTTTTTCCTTATATCTAAATATTTCAAAGAAGTAATTTCCCTCATTTTTAAGAAGTAGTGGAAGTTATTATTAAGTAAAATATTCACAAGAAGCAGCACTGAGTGATTCTATCCCTTCATACTGCACTCTCACAGAAAATTAAAGACCCATTATTAGCAGTAAGTACAGGACATTGATGCCTTCATGTCCCGGCTGGGACCCTTACCCCATGGACATCACACCCATGGAGGGTCCCTTCCCAAGAAGAGCTTAAAAATGCCACATGCTAATCAAAAGCAGGCATGAGATGGGTCAACGCCTTGCCATTCAGCAGCAGAGACGAGATGAGCTAGCTCTGAGTTTGCTGTCTCCAGGAGGGAAAAACAGTCAACCCCCCTTCCCAACAAAATCCAAGGATACAGAGTGTGCTCTTGGCAGAAATTCAGACACCTGGTGAGCTCACTGGGACCTGCTGGGAGATATACATATCCCCTCCAGGAACACCCAGAAAATATCTGGGGTTCACTGTGTGATCCCCCACACGGGCTGGGTCTTGCTCAGATGTGTCCCCCCCAAGATGGTGCTGGGACACTGGTGGTGCTGCACTCCAGGAGGGCTGCGGGAAGGGCTGCACTCCTCTGCATCTTAGGGGATGGACCCACACCCATCAGGTATACACCCTGCCCAGGGCATTTGCACCTCTCCTCCCCGCTCCAGGTTACATCAGTGTGTGAATCTCACACACTGCAATGAACCTGGATGATTGATGCCATGTTGCTGCTCCAGGCAGCTCTTTCCCAAGGACTAAAAGGCATGGGAAGGGTTTGGAGGACAAAGAGGAGTGTTGGGAGGTCGTTCCTGGTGGCCCTCAAACAGGATTCCATCCCACCTGCAAGTGTGACCAGAGCCAAACACAAGTTATGAGAGTTGAAGGGCTTCCTTTTTGCTCAGTGAACTTTTTGGTAGCTTACTGGGTCCAGACAGCAAGTTCAGGGAAGCCACACAGCTCCCACACTCCTAGGGAAGCTGTTACGATGAAGCTCCAACTGGGGAGCTCTAAACCCTCCTAAACTTCCAGGGATTACTGCAAAATGTCACTCAGCCTCTTCCTACAATTCATGCCATTTGTTTTAAACGTAACTTTAATTCCTGACAAGCAATGTGCAGGGGAGAAGAACAACACAACAGTGATAGATGAGCCTTCAGCTCCACCCCCACACTCTGACCTGTCCCAAACAAGAAACACAGACAGAAATGCTTCTTTAGCCCATTCCAGGGTGTCTGAAGAGGAGTTGAGGGAGCATCACCACGTGCAGCTCCTGCTTGCCCTACAGCCTGCACAGTGCTTTGCAGGAGAAAGGTATTTCCCTGAAAGGCTCATGTCTTAGGTGTTTGCAACCGATTCATCTTTGGGGCACATGTCACCACGACTGTAGTGCTGGGACATATCGCACTGACGTGGCAGAGCTGTGCCATCATCCCAGAATTACAGATAGGGAACTGCAGCACGGGAAGACTGGGAGATCAAAAATCCCCAGAGATCTGATGCCACCCACATCTCCTGCAATCACTATCTGTTGGTTTTCAGTCTTCTCTTTGACCCTTCTTCCTCCTTATCCAGCGTGTTTTGAGCGCTCAGACATTCCACACCTCCCCAAGCCTACGCTGTTCTGTGAATCAGACACCAACAATATTGCTTATTTAAAAGAAAGCCCAAGGAAAGAACCTTTAATTATAAAAACAGCCAGTGGCCACCACATAAAGTCACATTATCACAGAGGGGAAGGGAGGGAGCCAGCTGGGGATTTGAAAAAGCCCTTACGCTGCTAGAGCTGCAAATGGGGCTGAGAGTTTTTAAAACCCACATCTGCATGGGGCTCTGCTCACAGAGAAACCCACTCATGTCCAAGAAAAAACACCAGCCCATGGAAGCTGAACTTTTTTGGAAACCCAGCCTTGAAGGCACAGCCAAGGGCTCTCTCATCATTTTGGGTCATGATATATATCGCACAATGGCAAGGAATGGTCTGTTAATCCTTGCGAGGTAGGAAGGGCTCCTGGTGGGGGAAGGACTTCAACACAGAAACAAAGTGACAGAAAGCAGAAATAATTTACATCCAAAGTACGGACATGTGACTGTCACTTGGTCAGCGGGAAAGGCTGACACTGTCCAATCAAACCATGATCCCTGAGCAGGTCCTCTTGGTCCAAAGACGCACAAGCACAGCAGTAACCAGGAGGCTTTTTCTCTAGTACTCAGGGAGAAGCTCCAAGCTCCACGCTCCCAGCAGAGCAGTTTCCCAAGCCTGCACGGTTACAGAGGTGTGATGAGACAACGGTACCTACCGGTTTGGGGCAGTGGATGTATCTAGCAAGGCTGATGATCAAGTCATGAGTGATTGGATCCACCAGGTTTCGAAAGCTGGCGTATCGATAGAGGACATCATCCAGAGAGGTCGATTCCATTCCTAAATCCTGCAGAAAACAGAGTAAAGGAGCAATATTAGATGTGCTACAAAAGCCAGTGCTAGTGTGGTTCTTAAAATGAGCCCACATTGGTGGTGTCCATGAAGAAGCCAAGAAGAAGGTGATCCCCACCACCATCCAACTCAAGGAAGGGACACATGATCACGTCAGCCCGGGGAAAGCTGCACTCCTGTGCATTATCTGCTCCGCAAAGAGGCGTCAGAGCTGCAGGATGAACATCCTCGTGCCTCTCAAGCCCCAAGTCCACCGAGCAAACTGCATGCTCACAACAAGGTCAAACCAAAGATGATTCCAGCGAATACAACCACTTGATCAGCATGAAACTGGAATTAGAAAATAAATCCAGCGTAGATGTACTCCGGGAGGAAAGAATGAGCCTAAATTTGCAGCAAGGGAAACAGGAGGATAAACTGGGGGGGTTGGGAAGAGTGAAGTGCTGGACTAGATTGCCTGGGGAAGGGGTGGAGGTTCGGCCGCTGGAGACTGAACAAGGATGTGTCAGGAACAGTTCAGATTGAGCTGATCCTGCCCTAGGGATGGGTCAGACCTCCTGAGATCCCCTCCAAGACTATTTCCTATGATTTTCAATCCTTAGACATAATAATTTGAGGAATTTTGGCAGAGAACTCACCATTATATGAAATAAGTTAGTGCCCAGGAACAAGGAGGGGAAGGGTTATATATAGGGAACTCCTTTTATTTTAAATATTTTATCTCCCCTATGTTTTGCTCCTCAGCAGCAGCCGATCAGGGGACAGCACTCCTCTCAGCACGGTCTGAAAAGAATGAGGGGGGAAGGGGAAAAAGAAGATAATCACAGACCTGAGTAACCCCCCTTAGTACATGTACACATGGATAAAGACCAGGCAGAAATACAGTTCAGGAGCTTCAACTATCAGAAATTCATGATCCCTGTCAGACCCAGGCCACAGACAGGGACAGAAACACATGGCTGAGGTGGGGACTGTCCCCCAGGTCCTGGCAACACCTTGCAATTCGATCAGCTTAGGTTTGTGTTAAAAACTCCGAGACAGTTGGGGTGCAGTGTGGATGTTACCTTCCCAGTCTAGCAGAGCTCAACATCAGATTTAAGAAAACATCAAGTAAATATAAGGCATCGCTGGAAAACACCACACACTACCAAAGGAGCCAGTTTTGGGGCTGGGTAGAAATAATCCCACACACGCAGCTCTTGACACGCTGGGATCTCTGAGGATCAAACCAGGCTTAGCATCTTGACACTTTCCTTTAAGCACCTCAAAAGTCTGACAATCTTCTCTTAAGCTAAAATGAAAACATGGAGCCAATAAATCGGAGAATTTCTCGTCCTCTCTCCTGGGAGAACTTAATTTTTCACATGAAGCATTCCCCCCCTCCTTCCCGGTACATGTTTTTATGCGCAGATGTCTTTCTCAGCTGCTCCCTAAATCTCTCTGCCACACCAGCACTGTCTCTTTTCCACCACATGTAATATTTTAAAGCCACTCAAGGCTGAAACTTGTCCGAGGCCAAGTGATGAGCTCATCTGCAATTTAATAACTTAACACCAGTTCACGCTGTCAGCAGCGAATCATGAATCGCTCGCTTTGGAGAAAACGCCCAGCATCTGGCTCGAGTCACTTGGGTTTTTTTTTCCACATGTTCCCTGTTCCCAGGGGATCTTTACCTGGATAGCAAGTGCACCTTTCAACAGGAAGGCTATAAGGGTTTAAAATTATGGTATTTATGAGCCAGGCAGGACTACAGTAGTGAGTTTTGGGCCCCTCACTAAGAAAGACATGAAGGGGCTGGAGTGTGTATGGAGAAGGACAACGGAGCTGGGGAGGGGTCTGGAGCACAATTCCCGTGAGGAGAGGCTGAGGCAGCTGAGGGGTTCAGCCTGGAGGAGGTTGAGGGGAGACCTTATTGCTCCCTACAGCTCCCTGAAAGGAGGGTGCAGAGGGGGAGTCGGTCTCTTCTCCCAAGTGACAAGTGATGGGACAAGAGGAAATGGCCTCAAGTTGTGCCGGGAGAAGGTTAGGTTGGATATTAGGGAAAATGTCTTCCTGGAAAGGGCTGTCAGGTGTTGGATGGGGCTGCCCAGGGGCATGGGGGAATCTCCATCCCAGGAAGGATTTAGGAGAGATGGGATGAGGTGCTCAGGGACATGGTTTAGTGCTGGGCTTGGCAGTTTGGGTTAATGGTTGGACTCAATGATCTTAAAGGTCCTTTCCAACCTAAAAGATTTCATGATTCTATGACTTTTTTGGTGTAGACTGGAGGGGTGTTCTTCTAGTGTGCACCCAAAACACTGTACAGTGCCAAAATGGTTTGGGGAAAGTTTGTGCACATGCAGCAGGAGAAGGGGAATATCTCTGCATCCTTGAGCCACCTCGAGGCCCAACAGCCCCACGGGCATTGGCAGGAGGAGGCTGAAAGGACATTTTGGAGCGGCACATTCACCGGCACGTCTGCCCACGCGAGGCAGCTGGTGCTAATGCCCACCTCGAGCAGGATTTGGGATGGATGACACGGAACAAAGTCAGGAATGCAGAAATGACTGAAAGCAACCCAATGCCTATGACTGGATCCAAAAGCACCAAGGAATAAACTGTGGACCCTGACATTAGGCAGCTCCCCACAACTTAAGCTGCCATCCCTGAGTTTGCCTCGCCAAACCATGCCCGTTACTGAGCCCACCAGCTAAAGTCTTACGTTGCCAGGCAAGACTAAGGAGTAGGGAGAGGAGATCACTTTGGGACATAGAAAAGCAAGTGCCTTGCCCGATTCATTTTGCTGTGCATCCTCCCTGCTGTTGCCCATGCCCTTTCTGCAATTTACCTGATTTCTTTTCAGCTTTAGGAGGCTGAGAGAGAACTAAACCGCTCATTAGTCCCTGGGGGTGGCTTACCCACTGGTAGGAAAGCTTCCTGCCACCAACTAGTTGCATTCAGCCTCCACAGGAGGAGTCTTCTGCAAACGCAGCTATGTAAAGCTATTAGATTGAAAAAAAACCCAAAACAAACCCACCACAAAACACCTTAACAAAAAAAAACACTGTGAAGGAATTAGAAATTTAAACCAAAGATGTCCAGAACAAAAATGTTAATGCCTCCCTCCACAGCAGCCAGTGATAGAAACTTCCCAGCTACAGCCAAGAAAGGCATAAAAGAACAGAGTTCTTTTGGAAAAACACCACGCCAAGTGAGAGTCCAGGCACAGTCAGTCCTTCTGCCGTGCTAGATGCCCTCTTCGACCCAGGTCCCTTTTGCAAGCGATGACCACAGAAACAGCCCTTCCACCCCAAAACCAGCCGAAACTAAGAGCTCACCACTTCCCCAGGCCAACGCTACACCAGCAATGCTGTTCACCCAGTGAAAAAGGAAAAATAAATGCAAGCAAGGCATCTGGGAGCTGTACCCTCAGCTTATCTTTCCTCAGCATCAGGTAAAACAGCTTGTTACTCTCCTTCTGCTGCCTGTCAAAAACTGCAGCATGACAGCAGCCAACAGTTCAGCAACTGGCTTTTGAAGCTCCAGGTTGTGTTTCCATGAGATACAGCACTGTGTAATACTCCCCTAAGCCGCAAGGAGCCATAAACAACGGAAGCCAAGCCCATATTCACTTATTAAACTATTTATCACTGCAAATTGAATTGTAATTAGAGGAAAATCCAGCAGGTCCATGTGAGAAAGTCATACGAGAAAGCAGGTTATGCTGTTGCTGCTTTCATTAGCATGGAGCAAATGCAGTTACCGGCTGTCCAAATGAGGTTACTGTGTAAAATATCACCCCAAGCTGCTGCAATCACAGCTGCTTACAAATATCCTGATAGCTGCTATTTTGGCCAGCACCCCATTCAAAATTGTTTCTTATCTCCACTAATAGCCAGGGCAGCATAATGAATTTCCAAGCGAAGAGGTTGGAATTATAAACAAGGGTCGGACACAAAGGAAGAGAGGCATTAATATTGTGTGCAATCAATCATTTGCAGCAATGTATCTGGGTAAAATGACTTCATGAGGTGAGCACTAGCAATGTGGTGAGTAAGGTCAGCTCAGAGACAGGCATGTGAGATGTGACTCAATGGTGAGCACAGGGTGGGTTGCTCAAGTTTTCTTGGGGGAGGACATATTTAGCTGCTCAACCCCCCCATGCCTTGTGAAGTACTCCCTTGAAAACAAGCAAACAAAGTATTTCTTGCCTTTGATCCTCTGGATGTTCCATTCCATCACAAACCCTTCGATGTCTGCCTGACTTATGAGGTTAGTAAGCCACCGTAAAAACGTGGTATTGATGGATTTGCCAGCTGCAGCTGGCCATGGCTGGCCACCGCATCTGGAGTCAGCCTCCACCTGGTTTGCACATGATGAGCCCTCTGGAATTTGCTTCACTGTTAAAAAATTTGGTGCTGCTTTACCTTCCTATGAGATAAGACCATGCAATGTGGAAGTGCATTCCTGGAAATTGCATTTACTGCAACCCAACCGTACATGTACACCCCCTGTAAAACATCCGTTTATACACCGCAATAAGGTGGTTTACTCGCTATAAACAGCTTAATTCTTAACTGGGTACACTAAGGAAACAAGGGTGAAAGTCACACTGTCCTTCCACCTCCTTCTCCTCTCCCCCAAACTGCTCTTTAACACAGGAACCAATTTCACAGGTTGAGAGGGGAGTAAAGCATCTGAAAGGTAATGACGTTCCAACAGGTTTGGGGAAAAAACCAGGCCTCAGCAATGCACAGATGCCCATGTTTGCACCTTCAGAGAGGGCAGGCAGCGTTTCGCAAGCACATGTGGCTTGGCTGTGTCCAGGCAGATGGTGGTGGGACCAGTATGTCTAGATGGGGCATCGCAGAAGGCACCCTGGGGACTTCCAAACAAACCAGCACTTGCTACTGCAAATTTGTGTGTCTAATCCACCAGAATGGTGCAAAAACGGAGTTTAAATATGTGGGATATTTTCTGTTTAAGAATGTAAATATTGGTTATGAACCAAGGATTGCTC